ATTCCTAAAATTACAACTATGTGAAGTAATAGATATGTTAACTAATCTTATTGTAGTAATTATTTTACATTATGTACATATATCTAATTATTACATTGTATACCTTAAATTTACACACTATTATATGTCCATTACCTAGCCAAATGGAGTCTCTTAGTGGATTCCTCATATACAAAATAGTAAAAAATTAAAATTAAAAAATTTTTAGGTTATTTCTAGCATATTTGTGTCCTGAGGTTGATCAGTGAAGAATGTATTTTGTTAAAAATTTTTGGAAGACTTTTGCTAAGACAGTGATTTATAGACTGAAATTATTGACAGGTTAATTTAATGTGATAAGGAAATTAAGGAATGGGTTATATTTAATGTATATCTTTTACATGAATTTTAGAGTATATTAATTTTTCAAATGGCATAAAAATGGATTTAAAATATTCCATTTTCTTCAGTGTTTGCAAATCACTTTCCCTTGAATTTATTTTCTTTCCTTTTTTAAAAAATTTTTCATCAGTTACCATTAAATAAACATAGACTAAATTAAATGTTATGGGCTACATTTTGGTAATTTTTTTAAAAATCTTACCTTTAAACAATATGGTTTTCTTGGGAAGATTTTTCACTGTATTTTTATCAAGGTATAATTACATATAGTAAGTTTCACCTATTTTATTGTACATCTCTACCTGCATTTTCACAAATGTATATAGTCTAACCACCACCACAAGCAAGATGTCCAAGTTTCATCATGCTAAAAAATTCTCCCATACTCATATGTAGTCAGTCCCTCCCTCACTGAGAGCTAATCTATTTTCTGTCTTTGCAAGAATATTATATAAATGGAGTAACACAGTATATAGTCTTTTAAACCTGGCTTCTTTCACTTAGAATATTAGAGAGTCAACCAAGTTGCTGGGTGCACACTAGTTTGTTCCTTTTTATTTCTGGATAGTATTCCCCTATATGGATGTGTCACAGATTGTTAATCCATTTCTCAGTTGCAGGATATTGGAGTTGTTGACAGTGTTTGGTGGTTATTAATAAGCCGCCAGAAAGATTTGTTTTCAAGTTTGTGAGTGAACATAGCTTTCATCTAACTTGGGCAAACACCTAAGAGTGAGATGGATGGATTGTACGGTATTCTTAATTTTATAAGAAGCTGCCAACCTGTTTTCCAAAGTGGCGGTACCATTTTGCATTCCCTCCAGTAGCGTATAGGTGTTAGTTGCTCTGCATTTTTGCCAGCCCATGCTACCCACACTCTCTCTTTTCTTTCCGTTAGGTATATAGTTGTATCTCATGGTGTTTTTAATTTTCATTTCTGTAATGACTAATGATGTTGAGCATCTTTCTCCGTGCTGTTTGCCACCGATACATTTTCTTTGGTGAAGTGAAGTAAATGTTAAAATCTTTGGTTAATTTTTAAAATCCATTATTTTTTATTGGTGGTCTTTGAGTTTCTTTGTAATTCTAAGTACAAGTCCTTTATCCGATACAGTGATTTGTAAAAATTTTCTTCCTGCCCCTAGCTTTCAAAGAGCAGACATTTTTAATTTAAATTAAGTTCAGTTTATTTATTTGTGTATTTATTCTTTTATTATTGTGCTTTGGTTTTGTATGTAAGAAATCATTGCCTAACTGAAGGTCACAAAATTTTCTTCCATGTTTATTTTTTTTTTTTGCCAAGTTTTAGAATTCTAAGTTTTATATTTATATCTGTGCTCCGTTTTGAGAAATTTTTTGGTAGAGTGTGAGTTTGGATAAAGGTTTTTATTTTTGTTCTGCTTATTTGATGCTTTTGAGTATCTAGCTGTTCCAGCACAATTTATGTCGGAAAGAATGCCCTTTCTCCACTGAATTGCCTTCTTACCTTTGTTAGAAACCAACAGGCCCTAAACAGTTTATAACTGTTTCTGGATTCTTTTTTTCATTCCATTCTTTTCCATGTTTATTCTTTCTCCAACACTGCTCTCTTGATTACTGTAGCTTTATACTAAGTCTGGAAATCAAGTATGTGAATCTTCTTCTAACTTTGAAGAAAATGTGTATTCTGCTGTTTTTGTATAGTTTTCTCTTAATGACAGTTTAGGTTAGTTAATAATTTTCATGCCTTGGGGCTCCTGGGTGGCTTAGTTGGTTAAATGTCTGACTCTTGATTTTGGCTCAGGTCATGATCTCACTGATTCATGAGATCTCACCCTGAAGCATGGAGCCTGCTTGGGATTCTCTTGTCTCCCTCTCTCTCTGTTCCTCCCCGGCACACACACACACACACACACACACACACACACTCTCTCTCTCTCTCTCTCTCTCTGTCTTTCTTTCAAAATAAACATTTTAATAATAATAATTTAAAAATAATGTTCATGTCTTCTATCCTTAGTGTTAATTTGTCTACCTTTTATATCAATTGCTTGGATGCTGTGTTGAAGTCTCCAATTGTATTTGTGGATTTGTCTCTTTCTCCTTTCAGTTCCATCAGTTTTTGTCACATGTACTTTGAAGTGCTGTTGTTAGGTGCATACAGTACACATTTATGTTTATTATGTCATGCTGGGAAATTGACCCCTTCATAATTAACTTATGTCTATCTTCATACCTACTCTTCTGAAGTCTGGCTGACATGATATTGGTATAGCTATCTCCGCTTTCTTTTGATGAGTGTTTGCAGAGTATCTCTTCTATAATTTTATTTTTAACATATATATGCCTTTATAGTTAAATGAGTTTGTTGTACACAGCATATAGTTTGATGTTGGTTTTTCAATCCACTCTGATGATCTTTGATTTTAATTAATGTGTTTATAAAGTTTATATTTATTTCAATCACTAATATGATTAGGTTAAAATCCACCATATTTTTAGCTGCTTTATTTTTTAATCTTTTATTTTGTTTCTTCCTCTCTCACATTTCATTTTTGACGATTCCATTTTAGCTTCATTATTGATTCTTTTTTCTTTACTGATTTTTAAAATTATTTTATTCATTATCCTTGGTTATACAATATACATTTTTAATTAATTAGAGTCTACCTTTAAATAGTTTCATAATACTTAAAATGTAGTATAAGACTCAACAGTATTGTCCTAATTTATTCCCCTGTTCCGTGTGCTATTGTCATCGCATTTTACTTTTCGTATGCTATAAACACAACTCACTGTCAATAGTTTTGCTTTAGATAGTTATCTTTTATTTTTTTATTTTTATTTTTTAAATATTTTTATTTATTTCTAGGAGAGAGAGAGAGACAGCGTGAGCAGGGGAGGGTCAGAGAAGAGGGAGACACAGACTCTGAAATAGGCTCTAGGCTCTGAGCTGACAGTCAGCACAGAGCCCGACGCAGGGCTCGAACCCACGAACTGTGAGATCATGACCTAAGTGAAAGTCGGACGCTTAACCGACTAAGCCACCCAGGTGCCCCTGATAGTTATCTTTTAGGCAATTAAAAATAAAGTTGAATTTTATATTTACTTCTACTTATTCTGTTTCTAAAACCCTTTATTTCTTTGTGTATATGTTATGTCTTACCAAAGTTTTAAAAATTGTGTTGAAATTTTTCTTCTCTATTAGCACATATACCACCAGTTCCTGACTTTTCCTGACTCTCTTAAAAATGGATTGTGAATGGGCAGTTAGGAACATGTTTGATTTTTATACTTTGTGCTTACTCAGAATTTCAGAACCATAGGATTAACTATGTCATAAGAGGTCCCTTTAACCTAATTGTCTTTCTTTCTTTTTTTTTTTCCAAAGTTTTATTTATTTCTAGGCGAGAGAGAGAGACAGCATGAGCAGGGGAGGGTCAGAGAGAGAGGGAGACACAGACTCTGAAACAGGCTCCAGGCCCTGAGCTGGCAGTCAGCACAGAGCCTGACGCGGGGCTCGAACCCATGAACCATGAGATCATGACCTAAGCGAAAGTCAGACGCTTAACCGACTAAGCCACCCAGGCGCCCCGTTTTAACCTAATTTTCAAAGCGTGACATTTACTTCAACTGACCTTATTTTAAAATTTATCAGAAGTTCTCTTTCTGAGGTTGTAACTTCAGCCTGCTTGATCTATGAGCTTCTTTTGTCTCTATTTCATTGTCTTCCTCTCATGTGTGGAGAGGGAACATGAGGATCACACTGTCTGCTTTTTAATATTCTCTTTTTAGTTTATATGTGTCTTTCATGTATGAAGATAGTTATTGAGTCCTTTCTTGCCATTCCCCTATATAGATAAAAACACATTCTGTACTTCTTGAGTTTTTTATAGAGAGATCTTCTTTTTCTCTACATGTCTTTGGCCAATATCTATACTATTTGCTCCTGAATATCTCACATAATTATTTTTGTTAGGGCATATATAAATAAGTGATAGTGGTGTTCACCAAGATGAAAGAACCAGAATCTCTGTGAGGCTAATGTTGGCTCTGGGAGAATGCCAGGGCAGTAAATGAATTGTTGGAAATTCACAGGATCCTCTGTTCCCTTGCCAAGTAGTGCACACCGTCCTGACCCTCATAGCCCGGTACTGAAGCTGAACCCTTTCCCTGGTGCCTAATGGCTAATTTTACTTCAGACACATATGTCTAGGAAAGTTCAGGGACTTTGAATGAATTTGATGGCTGTTCTCTAAAAGCTACGTTCAGGTAGTATTGATTCAGTGTTCAGGTTTTTCTACCCTAACAAAAGCTGTATGTTCAGATAGCAAAAGCATTCAGTATGCCTAGGCTCAGGTATTTCAGAGCCTACTGAATGGAGCAGCCCTGGGCATGTTATTTGTATAAGGATGGGCCAAGAGGAAAAGAACAGACTAGAAAACCTAGAATTTTTCTGAGCAAACTATAGTTGTGAGAAAAAAAAAATACTCTCAACAGTTTGGCTGGTCCTATAGAATAACTTATAAAAAACACTTGTCAGTTATGAGGGTAATTGCAAGAAATAATTATTTTCAAGCTTTCCCCTTGATTTCATGTCCAGAGCATAACATTTTCTTTTTGTCTTTTTCCCCCTCAAGGGGTGCTACATCCATTGTGTACAGATGCAAACAGAAGGGGACCCAGAAGCCTTATGCTCTCAAAGTGTTAAAGAAAACAGTAAGTTTATTTCATTATATAACAGCATCTCTAAGGGATCTGTGACCAGGAGAACTCAGGAACCCTGATTTACAGGACAAAGAGGCCAGAGAATTGCTGTGTGCAGCTAACTCATTTGAATCTTGATTATGAGAGTGCAGACAAATCTGTTGTTTTCCACTGGAAACTGTGTGCCTCTTTGAAAGCACCTGGATCTCAGATTGGATGTGCTTGTGGGGAGGTGTGGTAATAAAAAGGATTTACAGCTGGGAGGTAGAAGTTGCTTTGTATACCATATTTTTATTGTGTCTATATTATATGTGTGTGTGTATATATATACATATTCATATATGTATATATATAATCTCCAATCATGAAAAGCTTGCTGTTTAAAAATACCTAAGTGAAACACAAATAGATGTATTTATGAAAGGAGTCGTCAGCTTCTAAGTTGATTTTCAGATGTTGGGTTTGTTTTGATGAGTTGCAACCAGACTTATGCTATTGTTTTGGGGACTGAGCCTGCTCGTTTAAGAAGTTTCTATTTGAACAAGAAGGAAGGATTGTGTTTTCATATTGCTTCTTTTTGCCATATACTTGTAGGTGAGCTAAGGGGGCAAAAGTACTTAGATTCATCTCTAGTGAGAATGAAATGCAGCAGGTAAGAGTTCATGATGAAGATGGCAGCATCTAACACTAACTCATGGTAGTCTCTGCACCCTAGAGAGTATTTGTCACTATAATGCCCTAATGGCACTCTCTGTCCCTAAGGAATTTCCCCTCACAGAACCACAAAAACACAACATACTCTTTTATAACACATTCTTCTTTTCTCAAATTCTATGTGAACACATACGTGAAATATATATACTTCTGAAAACCCAGCTGTAAAGTATGCTGAGGAGAGAAATATCATAAATTTTTGTAGTCAAGTAATTCCTCTTTTAGGCCAAGGGATTTTTTTTTCTGAAGGCAGCTTAATATCACCAGCTGTTTATGTATATTGTCTGGCACAGGAAATTTTAGAATCTTATATAGTGAAGAAGTGAATAATGGCATGGGATTTTTTCAATTGAGTTGAAGTAGAATGACATTTTGAAACAATCTGTTAGAACCTATAGTCACAGCAAAATAACAGAGAGTCTCATTGAAGAATAATTTAATAATCTAAATGGCAATTACTATTATACACCCTATAGTCTGGATTTCCTATTTGCTGTAGGCAATGATTTAAGTTATTCCAGAATGTAAAGGAATCTTTTGATTGTTAAGTTTTGGAATTTTCTCTTAAGTCAATTCCTTATAGTCATAAAATTTATTTGAATTAGGATTGTTAAAATTTTATGAAATGAACTTCCTTTTAAATATCTACTTTCTATGAAAATAAATTGACATGCTTTAGCGGTAGTCACACAAGAAATGTTTTTGGACTTGGTTGTATCCTATCCTGTTGATTAAAAAAATTGTCAGTAAAATTTGTAAGCAGTTATTTTTTCATAGTTGACAAAACTCTGAAAAGGACTAGGTGTTTGAATGTCTAGGAAAAGAAACACTCAAAAATGATGTGTGAGTGCTCAGAATTCCAAAGGACAAAGGGCTGGTTTAGAAAATACTGGTTTATGTCAAAAAATCTTTGAATGAATTGGAACAAGAGACAGGCAAAGACATTTGGTGAGTTTGTGACTCATTCACTGGGAAACTAAAGCTCTGGTTTGCCCTCGCTGTCTTCTCTTCTCCACCTCTGTTGTGGAAACATCTTCCTCAGAAGACAGGCAGGAAGAAATGTGGACGAGAACCAAGTGTCAGATGGAGCTGCAGAGCGATGCTAGAAGGCAGATGTTGTCAGACACAGTTACTGCTGTGCCAAATGGAACGAGAGAAAATCCCCTGGGGAATCCCAAGTATTGAACGTGAATTGGATGGAATCTCCAGCATTGTCTCCTGGAATAAACCATGCACAGAGATGTGTAAACGAGACAAATAGCAGGCAAAACCTCAAAAAGCAATTGCCTCCAGTGTTTAATTTCGTATAGGTCATGAAGATACAACTTCCTTATCTAAATAAAATAAATTAATGAAGCCTAAGAATCTATTTAGAAAAGAAAAGCAATGCAGGGAAAATAAAGAATTTTCCTAGTGAATTCAGTTAAAGATCTTTTAGGGAAAAGGGGGCTTTAGGGAGACCTGAGTGGCTCAGTCAGCTAAGCACCTGACTTTGGCTCTGGTCATGATTTCGTGGTTTGTGAATTCTAGCCCCACATTGGGCTCTGTGCTGACAGGTCAGAGCCTGGAGCCTGCTTTAGATTCTGTGTCTCCCTCTCTCTCTGCCCTTTCACCACTCATGTACACTGTCTCTTTCAAAAATAGTAAACATTAAAGGAAAAGAAAAGGGAGCTTTAGAAAACTTGAATTATGTATGTAATCTGTTTATTAGATTGAGCCACATGAAACTGCCTCTATTAAATCATTTTTTTATTTACCTACAAAAATGGTAATTTTAAGGCACCTGGGGGGCTCAGTTGGTTGAGCATCCGATTGTTGATTTTGGCTTAGGTCATGATCCCAGGATTGTAGGATTGAGCCCCTTGTCAGGTTCAATGCTGAGTGTGGTTTCTGTTTAAGATTCTCTCTCTCTCTCTCTCTCTCTCTCTCTCTCCCTTTCTTCCCACCCTTTGCCCCTACCCCCTATAAAATTAAAATAAAATTTAATGGTAATTTTATATGGTTCAACTAATAACTTTGGGACCACTCTACCACTTCACTTATAAGTTTGGCAGGTCCTCATTTTATGACTGGACCTAAACTTAAAAGGTCTGAAAGACTGTCTTCGTGTCTACTTATCCATCATCTGTTATCAGCTATATGTAAGAATTTCCTGGATCTGGTATAATAAATCACCACAAACTAGGAGGCTGAAAATAATGGAAATTTATTCCCTCACAGTTCTGAGGCCAGAAGTCTGAAGTCAAGGTTTTGGCAGGGTTGACTCTTCCTGAGGGCACCGAGGGAGAATTTGTTCCATGCCTCTCTCCTTGCTTCTGGTGACAGAAACCTGACTTGCGATGTGTCACTCTGATCTCTGCCTCCGTTGGTACATGGCCATCTTCCCCCTATGTGTCTCCATCTCATCTTCCCTTTGTCTTTGTTCAAATTTTCCTCTTACAAAGACACCATCCCTACTGGATTAGAAGCTAGCCCTGCTTCACTATGACCTCATCCCATTTACTACTTATATCTACAACATCCCACTTTCCAAATCAGGTCATGTTCAGAAGTGCTGGTGGTTAGGACTTCAACATGTCTTTTTTGGGGGAGGCACAATTCTGCCCATTATATGATCTGTAAGAGAATACTTCTAAGGTGAATTTTAAAATATACCGTTCAATATTTTATCTGAAGATGAGTGAAACTTATATCACATTCTAGAAAGTTACTAAACCTAAGAAAACTCATCCAGGTTATAGGTGACTAAATTCACATAGGAACATTTTTAAATCCAAAAACGATTTCCCATTTTTTTTACAGTTAATTATTTGATGATGGTTATCCTCTTTCCTAGGATCTGTTTAAATACTTTTTCAAGACAGTTTACCCAGATTTTATTTTGTGGCAATATTATGTACCTTTCTCATAGCTTAATATCTGGGGGAGGATTTATTTTACATTGACAATAAGAGACTTACTCCCAGTTCATTGCTGAGAATCCATTAGGCACTTACATGTCTGGGTGATAGACAATAACTCTAATTTACCCATAGGAAGACAGACTAAAACACCAGCCCTTCTGGAGAAATCCAATCTCTTTGGTGGTCAGGTATAGGACAGACTTAATACTGATAATAAACCTAAAGTGAATTGTCGTGTTTAGGCCATTGGGTATTTTAACAAATAAAATATCCTTATGGGAAATTAACATATAATTATAATAAAAATATTTTTAATCACCATATATTTTATATATGGATATAATACCATGCACTTTTTATATAGATAACTACATTTCATAGAAGTAATATACATTAAAATACATAAAATACATAAAATAGAAAGTATAGTCCTGCATTAAGTCGTTCTGTTTGGTTGCCCCATCGTGTGATAATAATTAAAGTGGGACTCACCTACGCCACAGCACTAACCATATTCCCCTCAACAAACAATATAAAAATAAAATATCGCACATGATTTATGACCCTGCAAACATTAACATGACCGTGTGAGCATAATGCACTAAAACACCTGGGTGGCTCAGTCAGTTGAGCGTCTGACTTCAGCTCAGGTCATGATCTAGTGGCTTGTGAGTTCAGACCCACATCAGGCTCTGTGGGCCTTGACACCTCAGGGCCTGGAGCCTGCTTCGGATTCTGTGTCTCCCTCTCTCTCTTCCTCTGCCCCAGTTGTGCTCTGTCTCTGTCTTTGTCTCTCTCTAAAATAAATAAAAACATTAAAAATTTTTTAAAAAAAACCTATCAACCAAGGCAATGTCTGCAACTTACTTTCACATAGTTAAACAACAAAAGAGTATGTGTGAGTATGTGTGTGTACATATGGGAGAGAAAGAAAATATGGAAAAATCAACAATTATTGAATTTAGGAGAGTATACTAGCATCCATGCTGGTATTTCAACATTTTAGTGTATACGAAAATTGCCATAACCAAAAATTTGGGTTAAAACATACTTCAACATTGAGATCCTATTTTTCATACCTTAGCATTTCTTCTGCCCATTCAAAAAGCATTTTTAAATCCTGCAGTTTCTAAATGTTGTAATGAACATCAGTGACTCTCTCTATTTTAGATGTATTGAAGTGCCAGAAAATAGAATATTATAGTTGAATCAACTTTATACTCTACTGAAAAACCTGGACATTTCCAGAAACAATATCCATTCATCTCATCCTGTGATTAATAAGGAGAAAGCTTTCAGGACGGTAAGAGGAAAGAAGGGAGAGAAATGAATCAAAAGTCTTTTGTGGTCATATATTTGTTAAATTGTTTTTCACTTAGCATTAGTAGTCCTTGT